CCCATGAGTGAGGCCTTAGGCTTAACTCACCCAGGAAGAGAGACGTAGATAATATTTCGAGCTCATCGGTGAGTGTGAATCAGTGCGTTTTGATCAGCCCTAATTATATGCGGACGTGAGACTTTTGAACGTCGAGTGCGATCCCCTAACATTCTCTCAGTGAAGAGGAAACACATCACGAAGAAAGCATATGCACGAAATGTGGTGCATTGAACTCATATCCGCTTGCACTCATGTACTCGCCGCTGAAGGCAGGGATTTCGTAGACGATCACCAATTGCGTCCGTCATGATCCCACCGCCGATCATTCCAGCTTTCAGTGTAGCGTGGTGGATTGCGACGTTTGCGATCTTGATGGTCAGGCGCTCGGCTCGAAGGCTTGGGTTTTGCCTTGGGTGCGATCTGGGCGATCTCCGCTTCCGTGAGTGGCATGTCAAGAATGCTGACCTGTCCAGGTGGAAGCATGCTACCGCCAGGAAGATGCTGAAGTGCGTTGCCCTGATAAATGTTCACGGTTCCTTCAGCTCGTGCCTTCGTAAGTCTTAGCGTGTACTTGTGTTGGATAGGAATACATAAGTCGACCATCATCGCAATGAGCTGTAGCGTACAATCTTTGGTTCCGAACAATTGGCAAATACCAAAAGGGTCGATATTAAGGATGTAGCGAGGAGCATGTCGACTTCGAGGTGTCAAAGTACTGAACTGTTGATACCCCATGACTTTACCCACGATGGTGCTCAGCAACGCTGCACAACTGGCGTGTACCATGCCTGTATCGACTTCGGTGCCCTCACGGATGTGCCTGTTGACCAAGAAATGATGGCGTTTGTACCCAAGTTGTATGGCTCCGCGAACCATAGTTGATAGAATCTGGTTCGTGCGGTACCGACACAGAGCATGATTCCCATCTGGGTCTTCATTGTCCCGTCGTGCCATGCCACATTGCAATACCTCGTCATCGGTGAGCTCTCGCGGCAAGCCTGTTCGATCGTCAATTTCCGTATATCCTTGCCACTGTCCTAAGGAGTCGTGGCGTTGACCTCGTCATAATGCTTCTTGTGCGGCCCTGACCGGTAAATCCAGCCATTTGGAATATGTCAACCAGTTCTTGTAGATCAGGACGACAATGATGTAGGCCATATACTTCGCATAATCGGTGTGAGGGTCTGTCATGTTTGCAGGCTCTGCATTTGGATAGACATTCACCATCAATCCCTGCCGATAGTGAGCCTGTTCTGGATCGATATAAAATTGATTGTCGAAGAGTAGTACTGGTGTGCGCGATTGAACTTCTTGCATATGTGCTTCATCTGCTCCTTCGCCAGCACCTTCCTCAAAATCAATGTCCAGGTCAAGTTCACCTTCAGGTTCGGCAATGGTGTGCGTGTCATCGGTGTCCATGTTGACATCATTGTCGACATCAAGTTCTGCTTGTGGTTCTTCTTCCATTTCGTCATCCTCAATGACAATTGCATCTGCAGCTGCTGCACGAGCAGTTGCGATAGCTTCATGGGGAACTTCCATCGGAACATCAGCATTGTTCTCAACCCGTTGGTAGGTTCCGCGTGACACAAAGATGGAGAAGCAAAACGTACACCGTGATAGACATGATGGTGTATCCCTCAAGCACCATGGGCACAATCTGTACCTAATGTTTCGATCTCTGCTTGTTCTTGCTTCAAGAGGTGGCGGTGAATGTAGAATGACAAACTCGACTGCGTCGTCGTAAGTCGCGTGATAGTGGTCCATGTTGATCTGCGACCAGTCTGCACCAAAATATTCAGAGAGTTGATTGATGATCGCTGCCTTCGTCCCATCGTGCGAACTTCTTGGTAGGTCACAAAGTAACTCCAAGATCCGATCCAGGGTACGTTGACCACGCATATCCTTTGCTGCTGGCGTGAGCGGCGGGGCGACTTCAGTACAGATCTCATCTTCCAAGCCGTAATCAAGGATTTTCTCGATTTCTTCAAAGTCACCGTCACGTGCTTTGCCAGGAATGCAAAGCCAAATCTCCTTGATCATGTGGAATGGGACGGTTCTTTCACAGATCACTGCACCGTTCTCAGTCACTCTACCTCCTTCCCTTGATAAATCATGGATTGGGATGTACAGAGTCACCAGTGGTGTCCTCCGATCATTCCTCGATCTGGAACGGGTAAGTTTGTTCCTCGGATCCCACGGCGGGAAAATTCCGAAGTAACTGTGTAGCCTTCCCGATGTCCTCCCCAATTCCATCAGATCACTCCCAGTTTTCAGGCCGTCCGTGACGATGGCGTTCAAGTTGTAAATTTCTGTGGCATGATAGGCGCCCCCGATCTGGTCCAGAAGTGATCTCGATGCCGATAGGGCGAACTTCGCCGGATCAAGCGCCATAACAGTACTTGCAGACACGGAGTGTCCGGCTGTTGCACGAATGGCCCAAGGTCTGATCCAGAAGTCCGTTTGCTCGAGATGTTCATTGCTCAGGTGTTTTGCCCTTTGGTCACGTCTGATCTCTTCCCTCATCGTTTCGACATGAACCAAACTATTCGAAAACACCGGTGCCATGGCGTTGAAGTCAGGGGGCAATGTGTCGGGTGGATGAAATCTCACTCCAAGAAACTGAAGACGCAGTTTACCGTCGCCTCCACAGAGGTTGAAGTAATTGCCGTCGATAAGGAGCTGAAGACGTCGTTGCATCTCAGCTTCTCGATTCTGGTAGTTGTTCCGGTAGTCCCTTGGCAAACTGTAAGCAATGTGCCTGTGATGATGGCACCATAGCAAATCGTATGAGAGTAACCACTCAAGACTTACCCATCCACCTTCATCACACTTGATGGTCGTGATCGGGTCCTGGCCCCATTTGTCCAGAGAAATAGACTTGTCCCTTCTTCCAATGTGGTGTCGTAGGTCCTTCTGAAGGAATCTGAGAGCTTTCTTCGCGTCGTCTTGTGCTCTTGCTCCATATTCCTCACGATGTCTGGCACGAAGTATCTTGTCCCATGCAGGATGACAAAATTGTACTCCTTCTGGAGGAAGTTTCTCAAGAATTCCACCGTAGACACCTTCGGCAATGTTGACATATGCTGAGTTTTCAAACTCTCCATTGTCATTTTGGCGGAACAAAGGACGATCCCCACGCTGCGGGAACTTGTGGTCTCTAGGACACGAGCTCCTCTGAATGCATCGTAATAGATCGTTGTGACTTGCCGGACCTATCCCAGAAATATCCTCACCACACACATTGTTGTAATCCCCTCGGCGACGCTCCACCTCCTTGTTCAGGTCCTTTGCGTGCCCGTAGCTGACGATGAATACACCTCCGGTCTGATGATGGACGACGTTTTGCCTAGGTCTTGCCTTGGGCTTTGGTCTCCTCCCCGAAGACACAACACTTTCGACTTCCATCGGGTCATTGGATCCTGACGCTCTCTCCCCGCTGTGCGGTTGAGGAGCCGGAGCTGTACCGGGTTGGAAAACAATGGTGTCTGGATGAATTGTAATCGCTTCTCTGATGTGTTCAAAGACATCGGTAATTTGTTGTCGAAGTGGATTGACGACTTTGCAGTTAGCGAACACGTGATGTGGACTCCCGCACAATATGCACATTTTGCCCACGGTGTTCTCGTCGACCCATACTTCGCCATTGAACAATAATTTGAGGGAATCCCACGTCTTCGCCTTGACAATGTCCGCGACGTTCCTGTTTGAGCGTTGTTCGGGGATTTGATCCTCTTCATCCGGCTGCCCACTTGGTTCCATCACCTCATCGGGAACGAGACGGGGAACCTCGACACCCTGCGACGTGTCAAACAAGTTGTCATCTGAGGACCTTGCCTCTGTGCTCGTTACTCCACTGGGTGGTTGTAACTCCGCACTTGTTGGTACCGCAGTGAAGTGACCTTCAGGCAACGCATAGAGAATCTCCTGCGCTTGCTGTTCGATGTGAGGATCAGCTTTCGCGGGTTTATGTTTCCTTGGATACCCCGAGTTGAGTAGCATCAGGCTGTCTTTTGCCGCGTAGCGTGAATAGCAACTCTCCAGACCATTGATGCAAGCATTGATGGTGTCAACGTCCCCCCACCGAGAGAATAGTTCAGGAAATCGTAGCGCAAAGGTAAGCATACCCAAAGTGATTTCGAAGACGTCACCGAGCAGTTCTTCAGGCGGATTCTCACTTCCTCTGAACAATTCAACCCTTTCTTGTGGAGACAATAATGTCTTCAGGAACCCTGCATATGCAGCATTGCCAGCGTCATAGTACGCGATGAAGCATAAGCTTCCTTCCTCATCATAAGCTCGATCCCATGTCAACTGTTTCGCTTTGTTCCAAATTGGAAAACTTAAGGCTTGCCCCGGAGGGTATCTGATTCCTCCATAGGAAGAAACGACCTTTCCTACCTGGGTATAGGCAATAGGGCAGCATCTGCGAACATACTCCATCAGATCGTCGACAGGTTGGATATCAATGAGGTCATTCGTGTAGATATAGTAAGCACAGGCAAGCGCGTACCTCTCCTGATCCCGAAGCTCTGCATAGTTCTGGACCTTGCAATATGTGGTGTGATGTGCGTGCTTGTATGCGCAACCAATACACTGACTT